AGATTATTGGGAGAAGCGAAATTGGACGAAAATTACACAAGTCCTGGGATCCGCCCTTGTGTAATGGAATAACTTTGGCATGCTTAAACATGTCTGGAAAAATACCTGATGAAATGCTAAGGTTGAATAAATAAACAATACTTTCACAAATGAATGGAGCAGAAATACGCAAAAGTTTAGATGATGTATTGTCAAGGCCAGCTGACTTAGAACTAGATAGAGAAAACAATTGGTTCTTCACGAACTGGCATGTGACCGGCGGAATAACAAATTGTCGAGTATTGGTCAATTTGGGTTCAATAACTTTCCGTAAATTCGTAAAATATGAATCACCCACTGAAACATTGGGTCGTATTATCACGTGTACGTAAGCCAGCTGACTGTGGTAAAAGTCTTGCGATATTTTAACTTAAATCTGTTCACAACTAGAAGATTGTTTTTGAGATTTAACATAAATAAAGCACTGCAGTAAATATCAATCGGGAAAATATCTCCCCATTTGTAGAGGATCTCGGCTTTGTGAATGTTTAAAAATACCCGGATGTCATTCCCAACCTCTGTACCTACCTGTATTTAAGTTTTGTGTGTGATGGTAAATCTCGGCTGGAATATTGCTTTGATAACGCACTAAGATCACCTTCCCCTTTACCTCTTCCACCCCTAGCGGGTTCAAATGTTGGTCTTGCCGCTGTAGTCATCGCGATCAACGCTGATCAGTCGCAATCCGTTGTGTACAATAGTCTCTGTTGCGATGTTGGCTTCTCTCAGTCAAATGTTAGCGTCAAAATGCAACAATAATGACGACTAACAAAAATAAAATGGTATTACTTGCGATATAAGATGTTGTTGTGCAAGTGGATCACCGTTAAAGACAGCTATAACTATCAAACGCTTGAATTTCGCCCAATACGAAACGGAAGGAAATTCTTCACAACTTTTCAGGACGCCGCCATTTTGTTTAGTTGTATTGGTCGAGTGAGGGCGCACATGTTATACCACCAGTGCCGCTCTGTTCGAATCCTCTGATCGGAGGTGTCATGCTCTGATAGATTTTAGCGAGATGTTTCAACCAATTTCAATAAAATTGATAACAATACACAACGTAACGATCTAAAATTATTTTAGGATGCGGATCCAATATTAAACAATTCTAAAATAGCGTCGCTGACAAAGTTCCCTTCTAACTACTACTGACTCCCGTACTGAGTACATACATACGTTGGGAGTTAATTAAAAGGTCCATATTTACAGAACTTGTGAAGTACACTTTCGAGATTTTTAGCATTATTTAACCAACTAATTTCACCAATTTTAATGTACGGGGCAGAAATCTGGGCTTGTGATGTATTAAAAGATGACAATAATAAATATTGGTTCAGGCTAAATACCCTACCTGATAACTATATACTCTCGATGAAGTAGTTAAGAATAATTCTAGTTGGATAAAACATATTGAAAATATAATGGGCCACAATGACTTTGAAACAATAAAATTAAACCATAAAGTAAATAACATTGATCAAATCTCAAATGTTGTTAAAATAAAACTCACAAAAGATTATGAAAAATTATGGAAAGAAAGCTTAAATTCTCCTCACAGTAAAAATGGTAAAGATGGCAATAAAATGAGAACATATAAATTGTTTAAATCGTTTTTGAAAATAGAAACTTACCTGATCGAAATAACAAACTTCAGCCTTCGGAGAATTGTGAGTAAATTTAGGCTTAGTGATCATAATTTAGAAATTGAAAGAGGCAGACAACAACGACCAAAAATTCCTGCGGATGAGCGATTTTGTAAAAAATGTCATACAAATTCAGTTGAGGACGAACAACATTTTATCCTAGATTGTGAATTTCTCAATAAAGAAAGAGGGGAGCTGTTTCAAGAAATAGGAATTAAAAATAAACTAAATAAAACAGACAATTTCATTAAAATAATGACGTGCTTCATATCCCTGGCAAAGTTTCTAAATAAGGCAAAACAGAAATCATGTATATGATAGCTATCACTTCTACATTGGGAAAATCCTGTAACTATCCTTAATTTGTTTTTCCTATTAAGCTTTTAACATCTTTTATTTTTAATTTTATCTTATAGTTTGTATTTTATTTACCATACTGCGCCCTCTGATGGCATAGTAGTGTAATAAAGTTATTATTATTATTATTATTATTAAAACCCTATATTAGTATGCCCGCCCATAAGTGAAAATGTTGCCTTCGAAAATGCTTGCAAGCGTTTCTGAGGGTACTTGAACGAAATTTGACAGAAGTTTTATATCTGCGAACAAGGATTTATGTGCCTGGTCGGCTAAATGTATTTGTGTTTTGCCAGTGTACCGTCACGCGCGGATTTACGATTAGGCGCCCCCCCCCCTTCTTCAGCCCGCAAGCAAAAAAAAAAAAAAAAAAAAAAAAAAAAAGACAAACCCAGTCCACGTCAATGGGGGCGCCCTTCCGAATTTCTGAATCCGACAGTGACCATACTCCTGTACTTGACAATGCAACCCCTACATAGTTATACTCGGGTACTGTGGGTGAGGCATCGTCTTTATAAAACCAATTCTCTGTTTCACGGAGTGCGCTACCTTTTCCTGTTAACCAAC